TGAAATTTTGATCATCATTAACATAATCAGATGAACTTTGAGGAGGTCTTAGATGAATGCATCCCAAAATGATCTTGAACCACACACATAGTTTCTTAGAAAGATCCACAACTTTAAAAGGAGGCTTTCCTTCATGAAGCATTACACTTCATTCAGTGTAGATAGTAGGAGTAATCACATTAGCCAGGCATGGTGATTTGTGGTTTACGTGGTAAAATAGTTTTCCTCCATCTTTTTTCATCACAAGTAGAATGGCTACAGATCTTTCAGTGATGACAACCTTAACACCCAAATCATGTGACACAATATACTTATCATCAACTTCAACAAATCTTCAGAATTTCTTCACCAAGCTTATGTAGATAGGACCATATATGAGCTTAAAGTAAACATTTCAACCCTGGACGTTTAGTTCCTCAGTTAAGTCTATTTTGTTTTCCTTGAGATTTTTGAAATCCACAAGGAGTTCAGGGAGAACATCTAGAAAATTTGCAGGAGTGGAAAGATGAACATGTGAAAGTCGATCAAGAATATGGGTTTCTTGATGATTTTGAAACATAGCCAAAGATTATTTTAAAGAAATAGAATCAGATGGTGTAGAACTAGAACCTATTTGATGCGATGAGTTACCTTGTTGCATTTGCTGAGAGGCTTCTTCTTGACAAATCACTTCTTGAGTGTAACCAAAGAGTTATTGTTGTTGAGAATCCATGGATGAAGATAATGAACCAATAAAGGGTTTTAGGGTTTTTAACAGTGTGGATAGTGAAGTGAAAGGGTGTGTGATGATGAAAAGTGAGTTTTTATAAGGCAGTTTTGAAATGATTACTTAAGCATATGAAATGTACAGAGGGAAAAATTAATGATGATTTTAACCTAATCTAAAGAATTACATCGCTCGAGTTGTCAATCAAACGAGGAATTTATGATTTTAAGTAGACAAGTGTCAAATGAGAATCGCAATCATACGTTTGAAAAGACAATAGTTGTTATGAACAGAGCCACGAATACCAAATGTTTTCTGACATAATAGATCCTGATTTAGAAATATTCTAACTTGTAGAAGTATCAAGACGAATTTCAATAATAAAAATAGTTAAGATAAAAAGGGTAAGAAGTTCTAACCTGTCGTGTAATATTTTTGAAGACATTACGTTACTTGCTTCATTTCTAATGAATCATTAGATTTAGATGACATAAGTTCTTCAGAACATGGGCAAATGAATCATCAATTCTGGATAGTTGTTTTAACTTTTCTTATATAGCCAAAAACCATTTGACATTAGAAAGGTTTCTTGATAGGAAGTTGGTTCTAATAGAGACACCAATCCTAAAAGCTTTCCCTCAAATATTTTGAATGTGAATCTTGTTCTAACAATGTTTACCTTGAATTCTTAAAGACGGTTCTTTGGATAAGACTTAGTCTTTTCTGAAAAATCATTCTTTTCGTTGAAATGCTTGTTATAAGATCCTTTAGTCTTTTCCCAAAACCAGTTGTTTCACATCCTTTTATTCTTTCCTTTGTGATCTCCACCGGAACCACTGAATCAAGCATTTTTAAGTTCCATGCTTTGGAACATAGGTTTTCTTTCCATCATGTATTTTGAGCAACCAGAGTTCAGGTGCCATGTCTGGTGATTCAACTCTGCATGAGATATCTATAACATACACTATTTAGTCTTTTGGTACCCATAAGCTTTTGTGTTGAAGGATATAAATATGAAAATAGAGATAATGGTTTATTTTCTTGAATATCTTCATCATAATCATAACCAATTCCTCTTTTCCCATAATGACTAATGCCATAGATCATGGAATCCATATTTCTTCTATCTATGTTGTTGTTCAAGAATTTATGAAATGCCGTATCATATTTGTATAAGACGGTTTCAGAAGATGGAGATGCTTTAGAAAGATTTTCTTTAAGTTTTAAACATTTCTTGTTTAGAAAGACATTTTCTTTATACAAAATAAATATGTCTCCTTTTTGTTCAAAAACTTCTTTCTCTAGCTTACCATATTCTTCAACTTCACATTCATGAACTTTTTGAAGGTTATTGAATTTTAGTTGAAGTTTCTAATACCTATTCAAAGATTCAAATAAACATAATTCTAGTTCAACATGAGAGAGTTTAGAAAATACCTCTTCTGAGTCAGACTCGGATTCTGATGTGTTTCCATCTGATGTAGTAGCCATGAATGCTACATTAGCATACTCCTCGTCAGAATCTGATCCTTCAGATTCTAATTCATCCCATGTTTCCATAATACCTTTCTTCTTTCCATAAAAGGAATTCTTCTTGAAGCTTTCATTTTTGGTGCTTTCTTTCTGAAGCTTTGGACATTCATTTATGTAGTGTCCTAACTCTTTGCACTCGTAGAAAGTAACTTCTTTGTTTTCTCTTCCTCTTGCAGATGATTCAGAATGATCTTCTCTGCTTCTGGGTCTTCTGAAGTTACCTTGTCTATTCTTCCAGAGTTGTTTGACTCTTATGGAAAGAAAGGATAATTCATCTTCGTCATCAGAAGGTTATTCTTCAGAATCTTCTATTTCTTCAACTTGGAACACTTTGCATTTTTTGACTTGGTCCTTTCTGACCTTGACCTTAGAGCAACAAACTTACTTCTTTTATCAGGATCACCTTCCTCTAGCTCTATTTAATGACTTCTAAGGGAGATAACCAACTCTTCGAGAGACAAAGTGTTCAGATCCTTGGACTACTTTAAAGAAATAACCATAGGTCTCCATTTCTTAGGAAGACTCCTGATGATCTTTTAAACATGATCAGCTGTATAATAGCCCTTGTCCAGAACATTAAGTCATGCGACCAAAGTTTGAAACCTTGAAAACATAGTTCTAACAGTTTCATCTCCTTCCATCTTGAAGGCTTCATATTTTTGGATTAAGGTCAGCGCCTTAGTCTCCTTAACTTGAGTGTTACCTTCTTGTGTCATTTTCAATCAAAAATATCTTTTGATGTTTCTCTATTAGTGATCTTCACATATTCATTGTGAGATATAACATTGAGAAGAATAGTTCTAGATTTATGATGATTCTTGAGCACACACTTTTGATCATCATTCATTCTGTTTCTGAGAATGGAAATACCAATCGCAAATACAAGTGCTTCGTAACAAAAAATGACAAGATCCCAAAGATCAACATCATAGCCTAGAAATAAACTTTCTAGTCTATCTTTCCTATAGTCAAAATTCTCTCCATCAAAAATAGGAGGCTTAATATTGTAAACGTCTCTTTCATTTGTATGAGCAGCAACTATAGAAGTTTTTCTCACACTGGATATCTCTACACGATTAAGTGTTTAATTTGAGAATCAATAACAGATCCAGAGCTCTGATACCAATTGAAGATTGAGAAAAACACAAGAAATGGATGGTTTTAATTGGGGTTTTAAAAAACTATTTCTTTTATAAATGCTTCTCACAAACAAACAATGATAACTAAGCAAGAAAGAAAAGTGACACATTTGATTTATACAAGTTCATCTTAGAAAATGCTACTCTTGTCCATCCGCCAAGGTGATTTTGCATTAGAAAATGACTTAATCTAATAATCTTGAAAGATTACAAACCGTCTAAGTTTTAGAAAAACACCTTAGCCCTCTTAAGTATTTTGACTATTCACTCTAGCCACTTGAGGAATTACAACCATATAAGACTTGGAAAACACCTTAGCCCTCTCAAGTATCCTAATTATTCACTCTAGCCACTTGAGGAATTACAACCATCTAAGAGTTAGAAAACACCTTATCCCTCTCAAGTATCCTGACTATTCACTCTAGCCACTTGAGGAATTACAACCACCTAAGAGTTAGAAAACACCTTAGCCCTCTCAAGTATCCTGACTATTCACTCTAGCCACTTGAGATAACAATTCTCAAAAGAATTACAATCAAATAGTGTTTATAAATGTGCTTCTAGAATAAGCAAATTACACTAATATTAAGTACATAATATTTAACACAAATATGAGGAATAACTCTTGTGTATACAATAATGATAGATCTAACACAATAATGAGCAACAACTTTTGTATTCTAGAGAATATAAGTTAACACAAATCTAAGCAACAACTCTTTGTATTTTACCTTTGAATATTTTCTCTCTTTTATTTTCTTATAGTTTTGATGCTTTTCTTTGAGTAGTTTTTTTGTTTGTTCGTTGATTGTTTTTCTCCAAATAAGTAGAAATCCCTTTGTATAGGTTGACAAAAGAAGACCATTGGAAAACGTCACTTTCACCAAGCCGCCTGCTACAACGGTAGCGTATGAACGTGGAAAATAAGGAGCACACAAAAAATTCTTCTGCACACTGCGTTCACCATAAATATCAGAAAAGGTGTTGTACAATTGTATTGTTAACTTCTTGCATAAGTTTTTGATCTTTTCTTCTTTTTGAGATACTTCTGATCGGAAGTAGTAAGAGAGCATAGAAGAGATCATGTCTTTGTTCTTCAACTTCTGATGGAATGATTCTGATATGAAGAGATGAATATTTCAAAAGATATTTATTTGTAGTATTCTCAAAGGTATCAGAGTCTTCAGAACCAGAACCTAGTCTTCATATATGTAGTAGCAGCTTATCTGAAAAACAGTTTCTTGATATCTGAGAGTTGAAGCAAAAGCTTTATCTAAGAAGTACTTTATCTTGTTGTCTAATCATTGAAGCAAAATTTTTATATCTGATCTTCACTGTAGATTCTTTTCTGAACACACTAGACTTATGAAGTAACAACTTATATAGGGAAGTACATGTGGTTCCGTTTCTGGCAAACGTTTAGCATTCATCAGAACTTAAACGATAGTCTTTCTGATGCGAGATAAACACATTTCTGATGATTCTTTAGAAAGCAATCCTGGATCAATTTGAATGTTTTATCTGCACACTAAAAGGACTATTAGATACAAAAATTGTCACACATAAAATATATGTATTGTTATCATTAAAACTCGGATTATATGCATAATCAAATCTTATTCTTACAGAACATTCACAAAGATTTTTCTACTCCCACTAATTATGTTATCCAACTTCACTTCCAGAATGTCTTCATCTGTATCGTCAAAAAACCTAACGAAACTGTAGCACCCGCCTCTAATATTCCTTTTGGGGGAGGTGATAACTTCATCAATCTCGCATAAATTTTGGAATTCCTCGTACATATATCTCCTTTGTGCCATAGTTCTTCGGAAATGAAGAGAAGAAAAACGAAGTTCTATTTCTTGAATCCTTCTTTTCGTAATGGTTATCCTTTCCTGCGTTATCCCATTGATTCGTGTTTGATTGAAACTTTGCGTTGCATCTCCTAACTTGATGCCATTCATTTTATCTACTTCTAGCTGGAAAGTGCTTCATTGAAACATTTATCTTAGTTTAATGATCATGGTGATGCACGTTAGAGAGAAGTTAGAATTTCTCTCTCTAATATCACAAAGTTTTATTTTACTAAATTTAATCTTTTCCAAACTATGACAACGCATTTAAATGTTATTTTGATATTATGAATATTGATGAACTCAAGTTAAAAACCAAAATTTTAAATAGCGATATTTGCAAAATCCTACCTCAATGAGACAACCTAAACTACTCTTTTTAAATTGGTTTATGGACAACATCCTACCTCTATTTTGTCAAACTGAATTTAAAAAAAAAAAAATTGATGCAACAACAATGAAAAATAATTTATCAATATCAACCAATCACAATCATGTATCTAATTAAAATATATTTTTATTTTAAAATGAATTAAATAATATAATATATTATTTATTTTCTATTGAATGACAATATAAAATTATTTTACACTATCAATGTATATCAATTAAACTCTTTAAAAAATCATTTCAACATATATTTCATTCTTCAATATAATCGTTTGAAAAAAAATAGAATTATTTTTAGGGCCATTAGCCCATACTTTGGATAGCTTTCCATTTCAACATGTACATAAAAACAATTTGCTTCCTTCTTTTTGTCATTTTCATATTTTAAATTTATAAATATGTATATAGGTTTTTAGTAATACTTAGACCTTAAGAAAGTGCTATATTATTAAATACAGCAGACTTCAATTTACGTTGTTGCTAAGGCATATCCAGTATTATTAATAAACTAAATTGCTCATCTATAATGCCTTTGATTCCATCTAAAGTCCAAAAAGCAAAAAAGTATAAGCAATAAAAAACCAAGATAGTTCTGTCATCTTTTTTGAAAGTTAAAGGCCACACTCTTATCAAGGTGTTCTTTTTAATTTACCACATAGTATAAAAATTATTTGGCAAATAAAAGCAAAAAATTGGTTGATTATCTTTTCAAAAAAGGTCATCTAACCAAAAAATCAAAGATGGCAGGAAAGGCATGTGGATCGCGATTGATCATATGGTTTCATTCTTGGAGTATCTATATCACATTTAGGTATTATATTTAGAATTTTTTTATATTGTCAACAGTGACACTTGAGACCGAATCTAAATATAAGTTTATAAATGAGTAATCATCTTTATCTTATAAATTAGTTTTGTAAGAGTTCAATTATGTTCCATCCAAATTTTAAGATGAAATATTATAGTTTTTCTTAATGAATATGTATAAGTATTACTTCTCTCATCTTAAATTACTTCTATGAATTTGAAAGTGAATTTCTGATCGTATTTATTTATAAAAAATTGATGTGTAAATGAATAATATTTTTCTTTTTGTTGGATATTAATCGAGAGATGCATTTTTTGTATTCATTCTATATGCATTCCATCAATTCCTTATTCACCCTATATATAAATTTTTTTGCCATTTTTTAGAAATACAACAATGTAATAGGCAATGTATTATAACTATATTATTATAATATTTTTTTTATAAATTAAATCGTATACTTATCTAATAAGATGAAAATGTCATATATAAATGAATCAATCCTAAATTCATAATACAATCTAAATAATAAAATAACAAACAATAATATTATTCATAATCTCTAATACAAATACTATACTACTGCGTATGTCAGTCACCCTGTTCTTTTACAGTCTCCTGTACTGCAATTCCATATGTGCCTTAGTAAGAATGACATCTATAATGTCACTCCCAAAAGAGCCTTATCGAAAGTCTCATCTGTCTATACCCACTAGCGGAAGATCCACAATACAAAGACATGCAAAAAACATAGCATACTCTTCCTCTAATATCTCCTGATGAGTGACCTAGATGACTCTCTCACTGCATCTAGTGTCATATAAGGATGTGATACTCTAAAATACCATTAGACGTAGTCGTATGCACAACTCCATTCGCTAGGAGCTATGACATCTCATGTCTTAGCCGATACCAGATGATTAAGGAAATCATCATACATGGCATCTACATCTCTGTGGACCATAGCAGGAGGAACATACACAAATGGTTCTCTTGAAACAACCGGCATATACTCGAACTGGCGCATAACTCGCTCAAGCAGATGTGAGTATATCATACGTGACCTACAAGCCAACCATGTAGAGTAGAAGCTTATGTTATCAAAGAGACGCGGCTGGCGGTGATTATCGTATGACCGGAAGCTTATATCATTTGTTGTTGTGCAACCAAGATACACTCCGTAGGGATCAGTCAAATGATACCTTTAGAGTGAGACTAATGTACAAGCAGGTGACATATCCTTAGTGTAGTGATCAACATATGACCAATCAAAGATGTGTGGGAAATGTTAGAGGATTCATGCCTGAAATGGTGCAAATGAATTATTAGTAATTGCATAGCACAAATGTTATTAAAATGATACATAAACAATAAATGATATAAATATATTACTGTCAATAATGTGCATCTAAATGTCATTTGTTTGGTCTTCCAAAGATAAACTTCAGCTAACTTGGAGTACAAGTAGACCAAAAAAGCGTCCCTTAGTTGTACTCATGAATATGCTCCAAGTCAGTGAAGTATCTGAGGTAAACCACATCCACGTAATGGGCACTCTTGTCCACAAATATGGTCGTGCCAACTAAGTATAATATGTATGTTCTCAATTCATATGTTATATGCTACATTACTTGTTCATCATCACCATCAACATGCTCTTCCGCATTCAGCTAGTGTACATATAACCTCTCCAAGAATCCAAGTATAGCATGAAATCCTCAGGTGTATTCAATATCCTTTAGGGAATCCGCTGGCCCATGTCCCAAATAGTCCACCATCATCTCTAATGCGTCAACTTTGATGATTCTGGAGCAGTCTAATAATCTTCCCATGATCGAAAGATGTAGCAGGCGTGACACAACATATAGTGTAATGGACATCTTACCATGTGGAAGATAAAAAAATAATGTCTTAGAGTGCCATCTCTCAATAAACGTTGACAACATACCATGGCTAATAGTAGTATAATTGGTTATACATAAATCTCATAGCACAAATAACTACATTGAATCTTGAAACCACTACTCTCTAGGCTGCTTCAACCTTGAAATCTTATGACCATAGTTGATGTGTTTTAAAGTATCAATGTACTATAGAAAAATAAATTATGATCACAAAGTTTGAATATTATAACACATTTGTTTCAAAGATAAATACATATAAATTTTACCTCATTGTCCCAAACATGACTGGCAGTATGGTCTTCATATAGATGCAATAGTGTAAGTCATATGAGCCTCATCCAAACTCCTTAGGGGTGGCTGCATCGACAATATGTGCCTTAACCTGGATAGGTGGGGCTTATGGGGCATTAAGAGGAGACACCTGCCTTTTCTGAGAAGATGAAGTCGAAAATGCTTGAATCCTAGAAGTTGATGCTTCAACATCAAATGAACTGGAATCGATTGGTGATTGCAAGGGTCGAACTATTTCCCTATGAATAGATGGATGTTCTGACACCTTGTCGAGCCTCATTCGATATTGGTTATCATCCATGTTTCCTATAATTAAAGCATATAAGAAATACAAAGTAGAAAAAACCAAACCCATATGAAACACATTGAAAATCAAGACAAACAATGCAAACATACAAAATATGGAAATGCACTTTCATATTTTTGGAAAATTAAATATTTAACAAATACGAAAGTGCATTTTCGTATAAACCCGCAACTTAGAAAAAACAGAAATGGCAGAAATGTGTGGAAACAAAACATGCTCAAAACGCATTTCTCATCTAAACTACCTATCAAAAACATTGTTCAATTATACTACCTATATATTGATGTATATCATACAACCTAATTCTCAATTTTTATAAATGCATGTATGGAGAAATCAAATGTGAAAAGCTTGGTGTGATACGGTGGCAGAACCAACTGTTATACTGGTTTGCATTTTGTATTCGCAAATATGCGGTAAGCAAGAGTCGCCACCGACTTTTCTTTTATCCGACAAAGGAAAGGGTGAAAAGAACAGAAAAAGACATTTTTCGAGAGTTTATGAGTAAGGGGGTAGATTATGGAAAGGGAAGGTGCTAGCACCCTTTCCATCCGTGGTTTTCCACGGGCTCTTAGGTACTTGCTCATTTTTGAAAATTGCTTTCGTGTTTGTGTGTTTTGAAAATTTTGTTTGCTTTATTCTAACTCTTGTATCAGTCCTCAAGAGTGTTGATAAAGCGTTTTTGAAAAATGTTTTGAAAGTGTAGTGTGAAAAAAATGGTTTTTGAGCAAGTACCTAACAACTATCTACCTACTCAAAAAAGATGTTCTTTTCCTCCTTTTCTTTAGATAGTATTATCCTACTATTAGTGAGTAGGTAGCCCAATCGTTGGATGTTGAGGGACTATCGAAGGGACGTTTACGGTCATTAAGGCAACTGAGCAAGAACTTTTAGTAACTGTCCTAAAGTTATAAGATCACTTTTTAACCGAGGCAACAGTCGAAAGAGTCATCGAGGGACTTATGATCTATTGAACTAAAGGATAGCCACTAAAAATTCTCACTTTTCGAGAATTGTGACCGTTTTCGAAGGCAACCGAATTGGGAGATACCCTAGGGGTGAGCATGTGCAAGTGTATTGATTCAGTTATTTATCTTTTGCATTAAGGTTTGCTAACGTTTATTTTCAATCTTTCCATGCAATCCTAGTTACTAACAATAATATTGTACAGGAAATGTAAAACACAGAAAATAAAAGCAGAAACGTAAATCTTAAACTATTACAACGCTTTGGGACAGTTACATAAAAAATATACAAGAAAGTAAAATGCGGAATTTAAACTTAGATTATTACATCCTATAAGCAGTTACATGAATATAAAAAGAATTACGAAAAATAAATAATGCGCGTGAACTAAAGAAATGTTTAAGAAATCTTAATAATGAAGGTCTATTTAGAAAATATTTAAATTAAACATCCTAAAGTCTATTTATAAAAATGAAAATTAATTAAGAAAAATAGTCTAAGCTTTTTTTTTATTAGGAAAAGAAAATAACGAAATTAATCCTAAATTCTAATTTAATTTTAATTTTGAAAGAAAAAGGTTAAAGTTAATTAATTAATTAATTTTAGAAACTAAATATTTAATTAAAAAAACTAAATCCTATTTTTTTTTTAATTATTTGTTGATAATAAAAAAAGTAAAAGGACTAAATAATAAAAACAAGATAAAGAAAGAAAAAAGAAATTGTGCCAGATCTATAGAATTAAAATGGGGGGTGTTGAAACTTTTATTAGGCCCATAGGAAGAATAAAACAGGCCCAGACGCTGCAAAAAGAAAAAAAATCAGGGGGTGTGCTTGTTGAGATTTTCTAGGTCCATAAGCAAGAGCCCAGAGGCTGCGTCCAATCTGGTGGGGGATGCACTCTAGGGTACATCATGGTCCCTAGCCACTGGGAGTGTTGGATTTAGAATCCCAGATTTGAATGGCCCATATGTGAGGTATATCACGCACTTGATGTCCTTCGCGTGCACTAGATCTGAAATAAAATGGTTAGAAAATGCAAAAATGCACACTCTTGGAATCGAACCCAGGTTCCCACGTTTCACACTCATTCGCTCTACCACTCAACCATCCCGTTCATTTGTTATTATAATAACATTATGATAATATAAATGAAAAAACAACAATATATCCTAGTCAGCAAAGCGCGCGCATCAGGAATTTGAATGAGCCAATTAAAATGTACAAAATTGCGTGCCTACTCCTGGACGGATTCAAAAGGTCAACGACGCTGGAGCAAACCTTCAGTCGTCTTCTTCGGCCAGCAAACTTGCAGAATATGTTAAATCAAAACGCGTAAGAGACCCTATCCCACTTGAAAATCCCTCCTGATCACAAATCCGACCTTGGTTTGGCCAGAAAGCTTCTGTATCGTGATTTATGGACTCGAAACCCTAGTACAACATGAACATGGTATCTTATGTTCTAGACGTCATGCCTTCCATGTAATGCCTCTAACCTGCTCTAAGGATACCCATAAACTCATATACACACATTAGAACATTCAACAATTAATAAAAATAGAGATTCGAATTTGAGACTATACCAAAACAGTGATGGCTTGGATCTGGTGACCTGGAACGTTGCAAGCTTTAAGAATGGTTGGAGCAAGTCCCTCAGAACTTCAGGAGGAAGGCTTGACCCTTTGTTTGGATTAAAAAGGGATGAAACTCGGGTTTTGGATTTTTCACAATTTTGATACTTTTTTGAAAATTTTGTAGAGTTCTCTTAAGCTATGAGTTGCGTTCGTTTGGCTTGCACATGAGTTGTATTTATAGGGTAGAGGGAGGAGACACGCTTGAATGGAAAGAATCAAGCATTAACTTATGGTTTTAAAACAAAAATCACAATTTGAAAACTATCCATTTTTGTGTGATTCTTGCCATCTTTGCTTGGTACATGAACCTGTACACATTTTCCACGAAATTATGGGCCCAAGGCTGACCCAACACATTGGCCCAAATGTCCAAAATAATAACCTATCATTTTATGCATTTATCTTGTATTTATTTGATTTTAAATTGAATAAAAATCAAAATAAATGCAAATAAAATCAAAGGCATGCAAAAGTGATTTTAGAGGCCCTTCATAATGTCATGAAAGTGTTTGAAGTCCAAAAAGTTTATCCAGTGCCTTAAAAGTTCAAGTTTGCACATTGCACATTTCTTGAAATTTCCCAAATTTTCCCAACTTGGGAAAGCCATAACTTACTCAATTTTTATCTCATGATGATGATATTGGGATTTTTAGAAATCCAAATATCTCTACTTCAATCCCTCTTTTTATCAATTTTTCATTTGAAGATGTTATCTTGATGTAAAAGGTCTTGGAAAAAAGTGGCTTTTGTTGACTTTCTGAAAATGACTTGTAATGTATGAACTTGTATATTTCAAATGGAGCATATATTGTACTTGAGGGCTGAAGATAAATTGTAGGGAATTGGATTCTATTCAAAATGAGCTTTGGTGGAAAAAATTCTGATAAAGTATGAGAAAGTTATGCCTAGTCAAAGTTTGGTTGACTTCTCTTATAGAAACCCTAATTAGCAATTTTTGACTTTTGATGAATTAAGAGCATTTCATGAGGAATCATGATCAACCCTTTATCAAATGATAGATATCACTTCGAAATGTTGATGTTGACCTAAATCTTGAAGTTTGACTGTATATAGGCCACAATTGACTTTTGACCTAATATAGTTGATTTTCAAGGATTTGAGCAGTTGACTGGGCAAACTTGTTGTGCAAGGCATGAAATTTTGCATGGATAATCTTGAGGACATATTAGGACCATGTAAAACATTTGATACCATTGTATCTCACACATCTTGATGAAAATTGAAACCCTAGTTAGAGGTTTATTGCCTTGGGAGGAGAATTTGTCTGGTCAATTCTTGGTCATCCTTGGGCAAGTTGGGGACCTCAATGGGCATGCGTTGAGTAAAAAGGGAGGGAAAATTTCGGGGTACAACACTTAGATTCAAAAGCTTACCAAAAGTGAGTTTGATGTTGAGCACTTCGATTGATTGTATGTTGAGAGTAAAAACTTAGAAGTGAGTTGAGAGAGTTTGAGAGAGTTTGAGAGAGAATAATGGAAATGAGGAAGGGAGTGGTCTGACGCATTTTTTATTAAAAACCTATATGAAGGTGCATTTCCGTAAGTGACACGAAGATGTATTTTCGTATTAAGTTTTAACAAAAATTAAGGTGTTTCTCACTTAGGAATGAATTGTGTGTGAACTGGGATGCATCTAAAAGTACATTTTCGTATTTTAGGGGTAATTTTAATTTTTCACTAGGGTGTGGGGTCAACCCTTAGGTTAGGAAAAATAACCTCTATATGTTATTAGCTATTTATCATAAGTTATATTTTTTTAGCCCATTAAAAAAGGTTATATTTATTTTAAAAATTGTGAAAAAGGTGTGATTGAATTTTTCATTTTTTTATAAAGGAAAAAGAGAAAAACATGAGAAAAAAAATATTAGAAAGAAGAATGCAAGAATTAAAAAAAATGGTTTCTATTTGATAAAAAATATCAAATAATTTTATAATAGATTATTGATTAGTTAGTTGATTAATTTAGTAGTATTTGATCACGTTAATAACTAAACTTAAACATGATAATAAAATTTTAAATTGTTTGCACACTCCTAAAATTTCTCCGACTTTTCCCCACACTTCAAATCTTCCATGTTAGTTTAATTTTTATATTTTTTACATGTACTTATTTTTTTTAAAAACCACAAATAGATAAAGGAGAAAATAAGGATACAAGAGGGGGGCTACAAAGGACCACTCCAAGGTGAAAAAAATGAAAAAAATGAGGCCTACCAAGCCTATTTATAACACATTATTCTCTAAGAAAGATGGGACAATCATAAAACTAAGCCTCCTCTACTAAAGAAAGGCCAAGATTGGCAATCAAATCCACACAATAGTTATCTTCATGAAAGATGTGCGAATCAAACTTTCTCAACATCCTTTCAAACA